GTCGCCCAGAGGAACAAAGATTCCGCCATGAGCCAATGGAGCGCGCAGCATTGTTTATTAAAATATCACCAATAAAAATCCAATAAATTACTCGGTAAAAATTTAATGTTACATGTAGCTCGACATGTGTGGAAATTCAACGTGCCAAATTCACATGTGTAGAGGATTCACATGTTCGTCGGCCCTGAACAAAGATACCACATCGGAGAGTTTCCTATTAGCATTGACCGATGTATAAATAATTTTCTCTTTCCCTCTCGTTTGACATTTACAGTAATCTTTCACAATAAGTATATTAGCGATACATAACCACTATACGATAATACAGAAATCGCAGGGCTTCGTTGAAATTGTTCCAAAGCCGGAGCCGTCGAGGATAAATTTATCTCCCAGTTATACCTGACTTCTGTCAAGCCAAAGTACTGAGGTGGATTTGATGCCAAAAGCAACACTGCTACCGAATATATAATCGATATCGCCTGTTCACTTCCGTCCGTTCGAAGTCAAATTCGAAGTCACGACGGTGATTTACCGAGAACGTCTCCCGAGAACGCTGATCGAGTGCGAAACGTCACATACTACCGCTACTTCGCGCACCGTCGTTTATTCTTAGATGATAAGACATTGCTTCTGCAAAGTTCTGGAATTTTGAGAAACGGATCAAGCGGTATCTCTCGTGAATCAAAATGTTCCGTAAGATTGGAGAGTAACAGTCGCGCGCGAGCCGAATGACTTCTCGCGACCATAGAAAATAGACGAGAGACGCGTGGCTTTCCACGTTTCTGTGTACGTCATAAATCAAGATGAATGATACGATCCATCGGAATACCATGCCACCTCCGACAGATGCATCAATCTTCTCTAACATGTTAGGGGTACCTCGTTCCAGTGGCAGTGACTTTTTGACCGTTACTGCTCATAAAAGCAGTCAAGACTATCGCGTTTTCCAGAACATACATTTGTCTCAGTCTACTAGAGCGTTCGCGCAAATGATTTTTGTATACAATTTCTGTGCGTGAAATATCACTTGTATTACAATTAAACAAAAATTATTCAGTTAATCGTATCTTTTCATATCACAATTTAAAATGAAAATAGAATTATCTTTCATCTTTGTCGCTTCGCTGTGCGGCTGCATCTTTATTGTTAAACATTTTTGATCGACAAATATTTTGATCGAGAAATATCGCGGTAATATAATCACAGATCGCTTTTGTTTGTCACAATATATACTAATCTTTCTGATAGCAAAAAAATCAATATTCGTGATTGATTCGGAAGTTGACAACGAAGTCCTGCGACTTATAAGATCCACATCGATCAACCGACCATGCAAGAACATTCTTGCGGCTGTTACGCGGAGAGAAACGATCGTAGGAACAATCACATTGCACCTTATTACGACATCTCGGTGTAAATTTACTGCGTAATTGTACAAGGCGCTCCAGGTTTGCTTGGAGGAAACATCATTGAGAAACCCAGAAAATTGCTGCGGCGAGACAAAAATAATAATAATGATAATCTGATTTATTAACTGGCTCCCGAAATCGGGACAGCTTTGCGGTAATAGGATCGGTAACAACGGTTGTCTTTTGTCGCTATGATTAATCCGCATAATAGCGTCGCGTCTCGGATTGTTTCCCGCATAAAATCGCCCGCATGAGGGATTTGTGTGAGACTTTGCCAGAAATATATAACGAAACGAGAACGCACGCGACGGGGGTATACTTGTCGCTTACGTAGAGAACGAGCGTGAATTTCTGCGCGTAAACGATGATCCGTCGGAATCGCTTCATGATAACGCCAAGTTGTCGCTTACGACAACATATCGACGACGAGTTTGCAGAAATGTACATATCGAGCGACGTGAGATTGTTCCAGCAATCTCCATTTCTCTCGGACCGCAGCATCCCGGAAAGTCCGACGGCCAAGTTGTAGGGGGATGCACGTCTGTTTGTCTACTGTGTGTATATGTATGCGTATTCGTCTACTTGTTTGCGTACGATGGTCAAAATCGCTCATTGGCGGATGGAAGGCACGGGGTAAGGATATCAAAAAAGGGGATTGAGACTCGATGACGGCAACGACAACGACGACGACTACTCGCCAAGGAATCCACGCGGATCGTCTTCGATCACGTTGTCTGAACTATCGATCGTCGCCGGTCCAATCGCTCGCTGCCCACGCGGGTAGCGGCGTTTCGTACTCCCATCCCGGACCGCAGTAACGCCACGCGTGCAGATACATCACCAGATCTGACGGCTTCGGGTCCCTATACTTGACTTTGCACTCGTAACAGTGCGGGTCAACGGTGACCTTGTCGTTGGCGAAAGTGGAATCTGGTGGTTCCGAGCCTGTCTGCGTTCCCACGGTGACCTTGAGGGATTCCTGTTGTGGCTGCTGCTGCTGCTGCTGCTGCTGTTGCTGCTGCTGCGGTTGTTGCTGCTGTTCGTCCTCGACCAAACCCGGGGTGGATGATGGCGAGGAACCGTTGTCCTTGTCATTGCCGGAGCCCAGCATGCGTTCCTCCAATTCCAGTTTCGGCTTGAACAGGCTCATGTCAGAATCGCCATCCATACCGAGCCAATTTTCGGCGTTATGAATGCTGATGAGATCCCGGACGAGCTCCTCGTCGGTCTTGCCAATATTACCGCCCTTTCCCTTGTGCGGGCCAAAGACCACGTGATTGTAGAGAGGATCATTCACCACGGGATAGCCGAGGTACTGCAGGTGGACGCGGATCTGGTGCATGCGTCCAGTCTGTGGCTTGCACAGCACCACCGACGATTTGCCATTGTAGCTGAGACGCTTGAAGCGGGTGACGCAATCTTTGCCTTTCTCGGAGACCTTGCAGACGCCGATCTTGTAGGAAACCACTTCGATTGGCTCCGAACAAATTACCTCCTCCTCAGGGAACTCACCCTCCACTCGGCACACGTACTGTTTGTGAACCTGGAATGTGAAGAAAACGACATGTGAATACGACATACAACGTATAGAACAATTACGATCGTCGTATTCGTACGCCAATGTAAGCGTCTCCGTCATTTAACGACGGACGAGCGACGCCAGCTGCACGTCTATATGTTTTTTTTTTCTCGCATACCCGCGAGACGTACGCTTATGCAACCAACCTGTCGATTTCTTATTTGGTGCTCCATCTGCCTTGCCTTCTTCGGCGTCCTGCCGAATAAAAGAATGCCACTGGTCAACCGATCCAGCCTGTGAATAGTTCTAAGATTCTTCAAATTGTACTCCTTCGCCAGAATAAAAACCACGGTGTTGTGCCGATAACGACCGCATGGATGAACCTGCGAACATAGACATGATCAAATGATTTTATTTTTGCCCCGTCGCTCCGCTTGAAGTACTAATCTAAGAATCCAAAAATTGTCTAAATACTAGAAAAGGAAAACTCAAGACAATCTATATAGTTTCGTCCTACTCTGAGAGAAAAGAGAAATTTTTTAATTTATAACTATATTTGTATTGTGACTATAATTACATGTTGTACCAATTATGATTATTACTGCTATGTTAGTAATAATAATTATGTGTAGTTATATCGAAAACTATGTAGAGTTAACACCCAAAATGACTATAAATTACAGTTATTATTATCATTAAAAATAATAATAACTATATGAAAAGTTTATGAAATACGCAGGTAATCCTGCGATGTGATCTTGCAAACTTACACTGAAATTATAGTTAAATTATAGTGTAATTGCAATTATAGTCATTGTTATCATAAAAATATAGTTATTATCATTTTCACAGTAATAATAACTGTAATTGCAATTGTATTACAATTTAACCATAATTTCAGTATGAGTTCGCGAGGCGAACCCAGAATTACTCCTGTATTTCACGCTAAACTTTTCATAAAGTAACCAGAATATCTTCAGGAAATGAGATGTGAGCGGTAAATTTATGGAGCTTACACTACTTAATGAATGTACTCAGTGCCTATCGGCATGTGGCCAATGTAAATTCGATGTAGACACAGATACACACGCATACACACAACACGGACGCTCATACGTGTACGCATTCACGCAAGAGCGATCGACCCATTTCTCCTGGCAAATTCGGGACAAAAAGCACTCATGTCTACAAAAGGAAGGTCGATTCATCGTTTTGAATCGGTATGGCAGTATGGCACAGGAACGACGAGCTTTATGCATTCCGGCCGACAATGCGGATTTATAGGTACAACGATCGGCTGGCTGACTAGCTGGCGGATCGTATCGGACTCTTCCTGGCTCGATAAGTCCGCGCGTCTATCAGCACCACAGTGCACGTATGCACAATAATGTACGTCGGCTATCAAACGCCCCCAGCGACTCGGCGAACCGCTATAATAATCCGGCGATCGAAGGCACTTTTCTATTCGCCACCGCTAGGATTTCACACCTTCCGTGTATTCCTCTCTCCGCCATAAAATGAATTTCAAGAATTTCGAGCAAGCGAACGAATTCCGAATTTTTTAATAAATTTATCGTACGCACGACGAGTTTTCCCGACGTAAAACTTTGTTACGTAAAATCTAAAAATGTATAACTGAATCTATTTTCTCTGTCATTGCACCGTTAAATTCATAATATCAAATAATACTTATTTTCGCTACTGCTCCTATTCTGTATGCCGTTAATTTAAAACTAAAGTAGCGGAATTAAACAATTTAACCGAAACAAATATATTAGATCGCACTAATTATGTGCACTCAGAAAAACAAATGTTTATTTGATAAAATTAATTTCGTCAAAAGAACAATTTTTTTTCTCAGCGTGGAAAATTGAGTCTCAGTGACTTAATGTGGCGAACAAAAGATGTTAATAGATACAAGACTTAATGATGGATAATTTTTAAGATATATCAAAGCTGCTTTGTGAACACAAGTTTACGCATTTGATACATCATAGCTTAAAAACCATCCATTATTAATCCATTATTGTTCTTTGCGTCATGATATCTTTTATTAATCACATTATAAGCGTACATTACATGTGAAAACTAATTCATTTTACCGAGACCCAATTTCCCACATAATTAATGAGTCGCTTTAACCAGCTTTAACTCAAATTTAGTTTATTATTTACTAAATGCATTCATATATATGTGAACACTGTTTATGTTGAAACCAGCCACAGAAATGGATTGATTTGGACATACATGCTACAACTTCCGTGGAAGTAAAAAATAACAAAATATCATGTTAACTCGAAGAATTGAGTTACCATTACTCCTTTGGTAACTAATAATGCATGGTTTTCTGATAAATATAATATTACATTAATGTAAATATATTAGTAAATTATTATTATAATATTATATTATCATATTACTATATAAATATATTAATCTGAATACATTATACTAACATAAATATATATTAATGTAATTAAAATTTTATAAATTAAATTAGAACATTATGCGTTACTGCGTTAAAATGATCTGAACGCGATACGCGATAAAAAGTTGAATAATTTTGCTATTGTCACAATTCACGTAGAGAGAGAGGAACAAGGAAGCGAAAGCGACACGATAAAGTCGTGGTGCGCCACACAATTGCATAACGGTTTTAACGATGTCTGCGCGCGAAAATTAATTCAATTGTTGGGCGGCCGAGATCTCTTCGTAGTTCGCGGCAGGACAAAAGTGGAAAAAGGTACTCGAGAAACCGGGGATGGACGCGAAAGCGAACCATTAAGTCGTGCATCGCGCTCGTGCTTTGCCGAGTACCTACTTGCGCGTCGAATTATTTTTGCATTAATGCCCGGCTGTTTTGTTGCGCAAGCTCTTGTTAACGACAAGACACGATCTCTCTCTGAGGACGCAGCCACCGGTGCATTCGGTGACATTTCAGAGAGGAAAAGTGGCCGAGCTTAGTAGTTCTCCGAGCCTGTATTTATCACCGAGCAAAGCCTCGCGGCCCGTCGTAGAAGAATAAAACTTGCAACCACTGCGGTGGCGCACAACTAACGGTCCCGACAGCGAAAACGAGAAAAGAGAACAGAGGGTAAAAAGATATATAGAGAAAGAAAAAGAGTACGTTAAAGTCTCATAAGCTGGTCTCGCGGAGCCATCTTCTTTTTGGAAACTTTGGGACGCTTTATTTTCTCGGCCAGGTGTATACGTCGTCGCGCGTTTATTATCGTTGCGAATTGAAATAACTGAGACGAGAATTGCTACAAAGTGGAAAAAAAACCAAAAGGGTGTTAAAACTCGTTCCGACGAAACCACCGTGACCGTTAATTTACGCCAATGAATCACCGATATCACCGGTTTAATGCATCGGATTCGCGGTATTGCATTTTGTACCACGCCGAGAAACGCTCCTGTCCTTTACCTATGTATTTTTACAGCGGAGTCCACAAAGTCCGACATTATCGTGGAGCGGCAATAATAGCGCGCGGAGTAAATTATTCGTGATTTGCGAGCGCCGTAATGCGCACGATTAACATTTTAATAGTGAGTTTTATTCGCGCGGTTGTGCGGCCGTAATGCATTCGCGACCGCGGGACATTTATGCGAGTTGCCTGCGTGTGCGCGTAAATTCTAAATTCCCTTTTTTCTACGTGCTTTTCTTTCTTTCTTTCTTTTTTTTTTAGTCGTAACTGTGTCGTATCCCGAAGTATACCAGGAGAGACCGAGGTCGCCTGATGTCGAAATGTTGCATTTTAAAAAGGCAAAGCTCGTCAGAGGCCCTTGACATTTGACGCATAACATCTGTAAACTGCGTTGTTTTGTTAGTCACCGTCTGAAAAACGACTCGTTAGCGGCGATTTAGTCGCCTTCCATGCATCGAGAGAGAGAGAGAGAGAGAGAGAGAGAGAGAGAGAAAAGGAAATAAAAGAACGCTAACGAAATCAGAAGGTCGACATTGAAGGAGCGGAAGTTTGCGCGGCCAGGTTGAGACACGCTAGAATTTAATTTATGGGGTACACTCAAATATATATACTTAGACAAAGCAGTGGAAAATTTCGTTAGTCAGAGTGCAAAAGAATAGAATCTGAAAATTTTTAATTTTAACAGCGATGGGACTTTAACCCTGCGAAAACATGCTCTAAGAATAATTTTCAGTAAAAATCTGCGGTTGTGTAACATTATACTTGTAAAGACAGCTAGCTTATGGAATTTTTCAGATAGACCGAAACGCGCGAGCGGACTTCGAGTGTTAAGCGATTTGGTTGCGTGGAAAGTGTCGAGGACATGCAAAAGAGTACGTGTGTGTGTGTGTGTATATACGTGTATATGTGTAATGTTTTCGTGGCTTGGACAATACGACAAACAATTTTTTGGCAGTACAGTTCTGGCAGTACACCACTTACAGGGATGGAGGCGGGCTTGTTGACCACGACGACGTCCTCGTCCATGTGTATCACCGTGATCGGCTCCGAGGTGACAGGCACCTCGTGTCTGCAACACACCAATCGCAACCAGCTTAACGTGGCTTTGTTCCGTTTGCGCTTACACATCTCGCACACGCGTACGTAGTGCACGTATGTAGACGTACACGTAACATACACATACGCACACGCACACACACGCACACACACACACACGCACACGCACATACACGTACACACATTCGTACGTACACGCGATAGACGGCATCGAAATGTCGAGTAGTTCTCGCACGAGTAGACAGTATCAAAGCATGGACCACATCCGTATTTAAATAGTCCATATCTAATATATCTAATGCATTGAGAGAAATATTTTGGTACGTACAAGCATTTATTATGTTGATATGTGACAAAAACTTTCTTATTTTTTCACTTTCTTACTTCCTTTTTTTTCATTAAAAAATTGTGTTGTTCCAATTAAAATTTGATTACTGTAATAATCAAATTTTGATTAGAACACACACCAAAAATATGGTTAGAATAAAAAATTGTATTGTTTTAATCAAAATTTGATTATTCTAACAAAATTTTAATTAGAACACAATTTTTTAATGGAAAAATGAGAAAGTTTTTGTTAGTCACATATCAACAAATAAAGTAAATATACATACCAAACATTTCTTTGTGTGTGTGGTGAACAAAAATTAGAGAAAAGGAGCGTGAAGAGGCCAATTTCCCTCTCTTTAACAACATTACACTGTTAAATCGCTCACTAAGCACTCAGCGAGCAAGAAACGAATTAATATGTTTAATTATCATAATATTATTATATTTATTATAATATAATATTATAATTTATAGTAGAATAACTTATATCTTTAACATTATATTTCTGGTTGTAGAGAAATAATAATTTCTCCAAGGCCACATGTGAGCGACATAAAATTACGCTCATATCGCTCACATTCTCACGGTCTTAGAGAAAATAATAAACAGTAATAAGTACGTAAGAAATATAATATTAGAGATTATTTATAATAGACAAAGGTTATTCTATATTACGAAAATATTATAATAAACAAACAAATTAATTCCTTCCTTCCTCACTGAGCATTCAGTGAATACATTCAATATTTTGGATAGTATACCCGTGGAAATACTGTCGACCACTTCAGATTGTTAATCGCTAATCAAGTTCGACATTGTAGATAATTATTGTAATATCGATCGTCGATTGATAATCGCAAGCGACCGGTTTATCGCTTTCATTGTTGGCAATCGGCAGTCAACGCCACGCCCGCACGCATGTTACGCTTTTTCGCGATTCTATTCACGTGCGAATTGATTGCATACATCGTCCGACCGCAAAAGGCGGAAAAATCGTGCCGTTGTGCCGATTGCGTTTCTACGCATACATGTACGCGTGCAAAAATACTCGCGCGAGGAGCCAACAGGTCGCGAGAACAGCGTCGCGAAAATATGTATAAAGCTGCGCTTTTATCTAACGTTAAGGTAAACGTATGAAGGGCGTTCCGCAAAGTGAGATGAAGAAACAGAACGAAAGCGGAAGGGAAAAAAACGGAAGAAAAAAAGAAATAAATATGGCAGGTGGATGCATGTGCATGCGGCGGCTCCAATTACGAGTTCCATCTACCTAATGCATTTCCACTCCGCAAAACTACGGTCGCACCCACTACGTGTCCTATGCACGTGCATTCTTTCTACGCGAACAATAAGGAAACCTCGGCAAAGAGAAAAAAAAATCAACACGACGGAGAAGGAGGAGGGAGAGAGAAAGGAAAGAAGAAAGAGAGGGAAGGAGAGCCTTCGGCGTATCGAGATTGGATTTGCAAAATCTTTTCCCGTCTTTGCAAAGTGCCTCGTTCACGATAAATGGGGGTTTGCGATGAAGGCCGGATAGCTGCGAATATCGGATAAAACACGTGACAAACAGAATTCAATTCGGCTAGCAAGACGTTCGTAAACTTTATAAATTGCGACACCACCTGCACCGCGGTGAAAATCCCGGAGGGCCGACGCGCACCTCTCGAAAACTAATCGCGAATCGATGCGTCGTTAGGTCCATTCTCACGCGAATTGCAACCAGAATGATTCCAGCGGAATCATGTAGACGTAGCGACGTTCTAAGATCATGGAAGATGTTATTAAATCATAAAAGTAGATCGAGGGCGAATTTATATAATGGCATTTCACAATCGAGCGGAAAAAGTTCATTCCTCGGAAACATGAAATCGCACTTCTTCAGCGATTAATATAATTATCCATAGTTTATAAATAATGAAACGCGATTACTCGTTAACTTCTCGTAATATTTCTTGTCATTATTGCGTGCATTACATTTACAAAAAAAAACCACGTGTGTTAGTCACGCATTATACTAATCTTTTAGCATTGCTCTATCGGTTACGCACAAATATCTATTGCTCCATTTTCTTCTTCAAGCGCACACGGAAAGAACGGTTTTTATAAAGTATTAAAAAATTCAACTAAATATAGTTGAATAATTCTGCTAAATCCTAAAAAAATCTAGCCGAAAAATGATTCAGAAAATAATTTTATTGGATTATTAAAGTTGTATAGGATGCTTAAGTTGATTGCTACAATGTCAAAATTTTTTGCAGCATTTCTCATACTCGCATTTCCTACACTGTTAAGTCTATAACTATAAATGAATTGATTTACATTTTAACACACATGGAGGTTAAAAATAACAAAGTTTAACTCAAGGGATTGAGTTATCATTATTCCTTGTTTGATATCTACCGTTAAATCTAGTGTCAAATTTAAGTTGTCACTACTTCTACTTAATATAATTTAATATAAAATAACGATATATATATATAATGAAAAGGCTGCAGAAGTAGTGAAGACTTAAATTAAATTAAATTTGATATTCTAGATTTATATAACAGTGTAGAGGGGAGCAATGGTAACTCAATCCTTTGATTTAAATAATATTTTTCAATTTTTAACCTCCATATGTGTTAAAATGTAAATAAATTCATGTTTGTATATATAGTTAATTTCAAAGTAAACATCATTCACATTAACGTACCGATTTAATAAATAATAAATTAAATTTGAGCGAAATTTAATACATTTTCTTGAGTTAAATTGTTTAAGTCAAATGAACGATATATTAGGAAGGAATAATAGCGATCTATAGAAACGATTAAAAGTAACTCAGATTGAGTAGAACTTGACAGTATTATGAATTTGACAGTACATAATTATTTTAATTGTTCAAAATAAAATTATTTTCAGATCTGTATCTAGCTAAATTTTTGGATCATCAAAATCATTCTTTCCGTGCAAGATAGAAATCATTAAAAATCATCACGATAGATACACATGTATACTTATCTTGAGGCACATAATCGAG